AGGGGAAATGCATTCCACCCGTCTGTGGGACAAGTGGCAAAGTCCCATTGCCGAGGGGCATGTGGGCTGAGAGTCACCTGTGGAAGTAATCTGCCACGACAACCTGCTGGTCACAAGTCACAGCACTTCCCCATGTGGAGCCTACTCTGCACCTGTCAGGAGTCTTGCCCCCTTTCTCGGCATTGGCCGGAAGTGCAGGGTGTCACTGTCTAAATGATTCCAGGTGCCAGCAAGGCTCCTTGGGTGCAGTTCTGGTGCAGATGCGGGGGAGGAGCCCTGGACCTGGGGACCTGTGGAGCCAGGAGCCCCCCTCCCGCCCCAGTGCAGTGTGAGAGGGACGCAGCACCGGACCAGACGTCCCTGCTCCGGAAGGGCGGTGAGGGGAAGCTCCCAGCTGCGCCTGGTCTGCACGCCCTGTGAGCCCGAGTGCCCCTTGCGTGCTGGGCTCTTCGGGACTATTCGGGCTTCCTGGAAGCGCACCTTTCCAGTACACTCGGGAGTCCTGGATGACCCCGTTCAAACTGGGATGTCTGTGGAATGAAAGCCCCGTGTGTCGTCCCTGGCTCTCAGAATGTTGAGTTGTCACACACGCCTTTCTCACCAGCCGCTGCTCCCATATGACATTTGAAACGGTGTTTAATAGTCATTTTTACTTGTGCATTAATGTTTAAAGATGAAAATCTCAAATTACTGATACCGTATTTCTTGACGTTTTTGCTCACAATTTAAAAAATGATAACCTTTGCCCTGGCTGGTGTGGTCAGTGGATTGAGTGCCGGCCTGCAAACCAAAGGGTCTCGGGTTCAGTTCCCAGTGAGCACACATGCCTGGGTTGTGGGTCAGGTTCCTGGTTGGGGGCGTGTGAGAGGCAGCCACACACTGATGTTTCTCTCTTTCTCCTTCCCTTCCCTTCTCTCTAAAAATAAATAAATAAAATCTTAAAAATATGATAACCTTTAACCTTTTAAAAAATTATTTTTGTTTTGCCCCTCAACATTTTATTTTTTTAAAGATTTTATTTATTTTTAGGATAGGGGAAGGGAGTAAGAAAAAGAGGGAGAGAAACATCCATGCGTGAGAGATACGTGGTTGGGTGCCTCTTGTGTGCCCCCAACCAGGGGCCAGACCTGCAACCCAGGATGTGCCCTGTCTGGGAATTGAACCAGCAACATTTTGGTTCTCAGGCCAGCACTCAGTCCACTGAGCCACACCAGCCAGGGCTGCCCCTCAACATTTCTCAATCTGTCTTTGGAAGCAGTTAAGGTTTGGTTGTCTCTACTGTGCAGGTCTGGTCTACACGAATGCAGACACCAGGTTCCGAGGCGGTGATGCTAAGTTCTTGCTCTTTACACGCCAGCCTGGGTCACACCGTGTCCTTCAAGCCCACACCCAGCAGTGCAATGTTCATGGGTGGATAGAGCCAGACGGTTAGGTGGACACATCCAACCTTGTTTAATGTGGCAGGGTTCTTTTTCTGGGAGGGTTCAGCATGTTAAGTTGTCACCAGTGGTGGCTGCCAATCACTGTTTCTGTGCTAATTCAAGCCCGTGGCTTCTTCCAGAAACAGGCAGAGGCTCTTTCCCTCCCCTTGAGTCCAGGTGGCCGGTGCCTGGCTTCCACCAGTGAGGTTGTGGCAGTTCTGGCGTGAAGAGGCCGTGCAGTTTCTCTTTGCACTCTGGGAAGCCTGTTGCCCCCCAAGACGTCTAAAGCCCGTGCTGGGAAGAGTGGCCCGGCAGCCCCAGGTGCCCTCGCCCTCGCCCAGGTGCAAGGACCCGAGGGGAGCCCTCTCAGCTGGTTCCTTCTCTGCCACCTCCCAGCTCGAGGCGGACACAGTGACTCTGGTGGCAGTCACAGCAGACAGGACTCGGCTGAGCCAGCTCGCCCCCGGAGCTGTGAGAAAATGCAGGTGGTTGTTTCAGACCACTGTGCCCTGGGGTAGTTTTTAGGTAACAGTAGGTAATTGGGACAGATAACTTCATACTGAGGGGTTGTGTGACTTTGCCCTGCTTACGTTTATAACCATATTTTCGACATTCATACGACGGAGTGGCATTGTCAGTGGTGGCGACAGCATGTGCCACAGGAGCCCGTCAAACAAGCGTGGGAGTTACTGCTTTAGAGTCAGGCCTCTGGCTTGTCCCAGAGTTTCAAAGTAGATGGGTGTATTTTTAACAATATATTAAATGTGTAGCTGTAACGGTCATGCCAGGCAATATTATGGTGGCTTATATATTGTTACACTTATTTAATCCTGGTAAGTAGCCGCATTTGGTAGGGCTTTATAAACGGGGAAACTGAGGCTGAGAATGTGAATTCGGCTGCCTGAGGTCACGCAGCTGGTAAGTCACAGAGCCCCGGACCCACGGTCACCAGCTCCACCCCTGCTGCCCCACCCTTCTCTCAGCCTCCTCCCACTTCAGGAGTGAGCGTGCTAGCCAGGATTTTAGCGTAAGGACTGTGTTTAACCCCACAGAGTAAGCCAGGGCAGGAGTGTGGGAAAGGACAGCGCACTGGCAGTCAGAACGCGCTTTGGGTGCTGGCTGGGAGACCGGTGTAACCGTGGGCCCCAGCGTCCCTGCGACACAGGGCGGACCAGTGAGTGCTGCTGAAGGGGGGCTCAGGCCCGCCCACCCCAGAGCGCTGCTGGGAGTGAGCAGGCTCCTGGGCCCCGCCCCGCCCCGCCCCAGGGTCCGCATCCCCGCGTGGGTCCCGGCAGGTTCAGCTACCAAGTGTTCCAGGCAGCTTCCGGTGGCCAGCGACCCTCCGAGGCCACAACAGACGCAGCGCCTGATTTTGCTGCGGCGGCGGAGGATTCCACTTCCCGCGCGGCCAGCTCCCCCTCCCCCCTGGGTTACTGCAGCAGCAGTCAGGCCTGGAGCTCGCCACCCGAAGGCACTCCCTTTCGGTCGGCTCCCCTCGGACGCTGCCGCCCCCTCGTCCCCCGCCCTCGCTCTCAGGGCTGCACGCCCCGCCCCTCCGGCCACCTCTAGTTCGGGCTCAGCCGCCGCCTGCAGGCGTTTGTAGCACCGGACACGTTTGTCCCCCTCGTCACTGTCACCGGCGCCCGCACGCGCCTCTCTGGGAGTCCGTTCTCACCTGTGTCGCTTCCAGCGTTTGGGGGTCGCGTTCCTTTCACCGTCGGGTCCTCTCCATGGACCCACTTCCCAGAAGAAAATGTATCTATGGTTGTATTGGCAACATTTATCGGTAATACCAGTTTCATCATAGTATGGTGACTTCTAGGAAGGTTCGAAGCCAAAAGAATGCTTCTGATACGATTTTTGGCCGTTTATGTGCGTCGTCATTTATTCTCTAAAGTGATCATGTGATAGTGGTGACACTCACCCCTGTTTTATGGGGCACGCTTGGACTCCCCGGAAAGACACCGTCGTGGCCGTGATGTGTTGCTGAGCGCGGAGTTTAATGGTCTCGGGACCTATCCTGAGTGTCCTGGGAAGCCTGTGATGGCAGAGTGGTCGTTACACACGGCAGTACCATTCCTGTTGCTGTTAAACCCTGCTGCAGATTATTATCAGAAATTTCAATAAAACCTGAATATAAATTGTGGTGAGATATTCTGTATTTCTGTGGAATTGTCCTCGCCTGCTGTATTTTAGCCTTATAGTTAAGCGTTTAAAATGGATTTAGTTCAAGCTGTCATTTGAAAGAGTTTGTACTTAACCCTCTCGCCCACAAATGTTTTCGTCTCTCCATACCCTTTTCTCATCCTCATCCGTCTGCCAAGGAGAGTCCTCTGTGGTTGTGTCACGCACAGTTGGGTCCAGTTTTTAGAAATCTCAGTATCTTGTCATTTTGTTTAGTATTACTGTTAGAATTTTTAATCTGTCTGGTTCACTTAATGTTCTCCACTCAGCTGGGCATTTTCGGTTTCCAGAGTTCCTCAAGTACGAACAAATGCCATTACACAGAATCTTTGTAAGTGCAGTTTTGTTTTCATTTTTAAATTGCTGCCTGCTGACAGATTCCCAGGAGTGTGATGATGTAATCAAAACAAACCCAACCTTGCAGTCTTTAAGGTGCTAACGATTTTTCTTCATTTTTTGTGTGTTTTGTTGAAAATAGTTTCATTATTTAGATTTTCATTTCTTAGTCATTGGCAAGGTAAAGCTTTCCCCCATGAGTTGATACGTCTGTTTACTCTTATGTGAATTGTCTGTTCCATGTACTTCCTCTGTTTAACCTGTTGGGATTTGTTTACATGCTTGCATAAGCTCACAATCCTTTGTAATCATTTGTACCGACTATATACTTTTTTAGTATATTATTTTACCTCTTATGTAGATATTTTATTATTTTTTTAAGATTTTATCTATTTTTAGAGATAGAGGAGGGCAAGGAGAAAGAAACATCAATGTGTGGTTGCCTCTCGTGCGCCCCCTGCTGGGGACCTGGCCCGCAACCCAGGCATGCGCTCCAGATGGGGAATCAAATCAGCGACTCTGGTTCACAGGCCCACACCGAATCCAACAGAGTCACCTCAACCAGGGCTCTACGCAGATTTTGATTTCTTAGCACACAGAAAGTTTTGAAATTCTTTAGAACACTGCATTTATGGCCATTGTCTATGGATGATATTTTTTCTTTTTGAAATTATATAATTGCTTCCTGGCTGGTGTGGCTCAGTGGATTGAGTGCCAGCCTGTGAACCAAAAGGTCACCGGTTCAGTTCCCAGTCAGGGCACATGCCTGGGCTGCAGGCCGGGTGGCTGGTTGGGGGTGTGCGAGAGGCAACCAACTGATGTTTCTCTTACACATCGATATTTCTCTCCCTCTCTTTCTCCCTCCCTTCCCCTCTCTCTAAAAGTAAGTAAAATCTTTTTAAAAAACTTACATGATTGCTTTTGTTTGCTAATATATTTGTAAATAAATTTATGAATGCAGATATTTACATCCGTGACGGTTTACAAGGGATTTTTGCACGTGCCATCTTAGTAAGTGTCTCCGTGGATATTTACAAAGCTCCCTTTCTCTCCCTCCAGCCACCCCACAGGAGGGTCCTTCATTCGTCCCAACAAGGCCAACTTTGGAGTAGACTTTCTCACTGCAGTTGAGAACCGCTATGTGTTAAAAGATGGACCAGAGGAAGACGGAAAAGAGCAAATTGTGAAAATTGCAAATAGACCCGTGGAAACGATTGGTTTTGACTCTATTAGAAAACAGCAAAGGTAAGTGGGGCTGATGGTGGAAGAGCGGGCCCTCAGCCCCACCCGGGCTCCGGAGCACGTTCTGCGAGCGTGCGGGCGCCCGGGCGCCCGGGGCCTCACAGCCTCACTGCCCTGTGCTTCCCGCGCAGACGGCAGTGGGAATCGCAGGAACCCGAGGGTCAAATGCACAGGGAAAGTAAAACCCTCACTTCAGCTCAGGGCTGTTGGACTGTTCTAGATTGGAATTAAAAGATTGATTTGCCCATTATTAATATTGATACCATGCTGTCTGATGTCGACTAAATATTAAGTAAGCAAGGTTGGCACTCTGGTCCTCTTGTATTTTGTGGTGGTGTTTCTAGCTGGTTGATGTCCCAAAAGGAGACAGAAGTGTACCTGGTTACCTGTGCTAGGTCGCTGCACACCCCCTTGTCACCTTTGCCCCACCCCAGACCTACTGAGGCAGAATACCCTGGTCTCTTGCTCCTAAGCGCCCCAAATTACTGTGTAGCCATTTGAAGGGCATGAGATAAAGCATTTTAAAACTGCTGATTCCTGTCTCTGTTCTCAGAAATCTATACTGATTCTCTGTAGAAGCCCAGTGTTCATTCTGATGAGCCGTCTGACTCAGGGAGAGTAAAGGCTGATGTTCACATGAAAACTCAGCAGCCCAAGAACCTTCCAGGGGTTAGCGATGGTGGGTGCTGTGGTTTGACCTGACCCAGATGAAGTGTCCCAGTAGTGACCCCTGGTGGCCACTGTGGAAAGTGGATTTGCAGCTGCTAGGCACAGGCCTGCAATCTTATCTTTGTAAAGAGTTAAAAACTGGTTTTGTTCAAAGTATTGTTCCTTTGTTATCTTTTGGCTGTTTCTGTTATTATTAACTTTCATACTATGGCTGGTGTGTGGCTCAGTGGCTTGAGTGCCAGCCTGTGGACCAAAAGGTCACCAGTTTGATTCCCAGTCAGGGCACACGCCTGGGTTGCGGGCCAGGTACCCAGTAGGGGGCACAAGAGAGGCAACCACACACAGAAGTTGCCCTCTCTTTCTCCTTTCCCCTCTCTCTAAAAATAAATAAATAAAATCTTTTTAAAAAAGATTTAGGGTTGGGGCAGGGGTGCGTGGTGGGTTGAAAATGGAGACAACTGTACTTGAATAGTAAAAAGAGATTTAAAATAATGCAGAATTTAAAGTGTACATAGGGACAATGTGTAAGAATAAATTCATATCTTGATAGCTCTGCTTTTTAGCATAGATGACCAGTATTTAAAAAACTTCAATAAATCATGATTTCTAAAAAAGCAACAACTTGATTGTTTGTTAATTACAAAACAGTATACATTGTTGAAAATTTAGAAGATTGAATAAAAGAAAGTCACAACTAATGCCACCATCAAGAGATAATGGTCATGAATGGCTCATTGCTTTACTTTTTCCCATTTAAGATGCAAATGTTTAAGTATCTTTTACCCTAAAAGGTGCCCTTTATTTTTCTTATTGATTAATCTCTTTCAAAGAGTACCATGGGCTGTGTGAATATTAACAAATTGCAAACACATTTTCCTTCCCTAGTTTATGGACAATGCATAGTTCTTGAATTTTTCTGGCGAGTGACCTTCTTACTTGAATGTCACTGTCTTCAGTAAAGAGCGAGTGAACTCTTGGAAGGAACCCGACTCTGGCGTCAGGCTGGGTTCCGGGTCTGCTGAGCCACTTGCCAGCCCACACGAGTTAGAGCTGATGTCCTAAGCCTCGGCTTCCTCGTTTACAAGTTGTCTCCTAAGCTGTTGGAGCTGCTGTGAGTAACAAGCAAGGTGGTGCCAAGCAGGGCGCTCGTCACCAGTAGGGCGGGCAGCCTCCAGCTGGCCAGCTTTGAGGTTGTAGCTCTAAGAAAAGACTCAAAGGAGCCAAAACCAATAGAATCTATTCTGTGTGGCTTCTCCCGGAGGTGGCTTTGGCTCTGGACTGCCGTCTGTGTTGAGACGGGGGCCCCTGAGTTTGTACCCTGTGTTTCTGGCACTGCAGCGAACCCCCTGGGCACAGCAGGATATTTTTAATTGTAGAGGGAAACAGTGACATCTGTCGGACACTGTGCAGACTTGTCCTTTGAGGTGGTTCCCAGTTTCATGATACTCCCACCATGCCTTTCGGTGGTGGCACGTTCCTGCCAAGCTGGGCAGACAGCGCCGGTGAAAAGCTGGCCCCTCCGGAGCTCACCCTGCAGCAGGAAGTGGGGCTGGTGGTGGGCGGTCTGATCCCGGTGAGGGAGTTGTGTGCTCGGTGCCTTCCCTGAGCGTGATGGCCTCCCTTTCACCCACATTGTAGCAGGTGTCAGAATTTCCTTCCTTTTTTCAAAAAAAAGATTTTTATTTATTTATTTTCAGAGAGGGGGAAGGGAGGGAGAAAGAGAGGCAGAGAAACATCAGTGTGTGGTTGCCATTCACGTGTGCCTCCTCACCGGGAACCTGGTCCGCAACCCAGGCATGTGCCCCCACTGGGAACCGAACCAGTGACCCTTCCGTTGCAGGCTGGCACTCAGTCCACTGAGCCACACCAGCCAGAATTTTCTTCCTTTTTATGGCTGAATAACAGTATTCCATTTATCTGCTTCTTCACTGATGGACACTCGGGTTGCTTCCGCCCTCTGGCTATTGTGAGTGATGCTGCTGTGACCTTGGGTGGACCTCACAGCATTAGGCAGACATGAACTCTGTAGCAGAGAGGGGCTCACTCGCCCCTCACTAGAGAAGGTGGTGGAGCTGGGACTTCAACTCAGGCAGTCTGGCTCCAGCTTCTGTGTTCCAGACACTGTCGGGCCCTGTAACACGTGAGCTGTCTTAATAAATAGAAAACACAGACTCTCTAGACTGAGCAGTGGCTTCTGAGGGTATCCGGGAAGCTGCAGCTCCACGCGGTCCAGGCTGGGTCCTGGAGAGCCTTCCACACGTGAGTGCGAGAAGCACGTGCTGTTGGGAATCATGTAAACACCCGCTGAGGAAGGAGCAGACGCAGTCACCGTGGTCTGTTCGGAGAGTGAGTGTACGAGGTGTGGAAGCGCACGCTCCAGGGGCCGTGTGCTGCCGCCACGGCGAAGTCACTGCTGAACAATGTGCTGTGGATAGAGCGCGGAACTGGTGGAAGGCTCCATTTATGTCACGTTCCACAATGTACAAAAATAGCCTCATCGTTTAGGGATGTGGAAATAGTGACACTACTGAGAAATGCGTAAGGTTAAACAAACACCAAGTGCAGCGCCCTAGTCACTTGTGGGGGGCGTGTGGGGTTTGCCATGGAAAGGGACAGAGGACTTCAGTCGCCTGTGTAGTGTTCGCAGCACTTTATTTCTTAAGTTGGCGGGTGGGTCCTGGTGTTTGTTATTCTTGGTACCTTGTCGTGTATCAGACGCGTTTTCATTTTTTGAAGGGCCCGTGGGAAGCGCGCATGTTTCTATAATATGTGAACTATGTGTTTTTCACGCAGCCAGCTGAGCACGTTGCAAGAAATTTCTCTGAGGAAATGCGCTGTATGTTGTGCCGGGGACAAAGGAGCCATTGCCAAAGCGTGTCCCAGTATCCTTTCAGTGATAACTCACGGCTGCACCCTGGCCGAGGTTCGACACCTGTGCGGACACCGCCTGTCGGCCACCCCGTGTCCATGGTCCCTGGCCTCCTTCCTGACCACAGCCCAGCTTACCTGGGGCAGCCGCTGCCCAGATATGTCATGTGCGTTTCGAGGCCCCTCTGCTCTCGGGCAAGGCAGTGATGACCCCTGGCCAGTGAGGTGTGAAGGGGCCTCCGGATGGGACTCCTTGAGAGGGGGCCACCGGGGCCAGCTCCTGCCTATCGCCCGTGCCTCCCGCCTGGCCCCCGGCGCAGACAGAGCACGCGGGCTCGGCCCCGTGAACACGGTGTCAGGGCGGACGGGGCCCGGGCAGCAGAGGGCAGAGGAGGAGCAAGTCCCGAGTCCCAGGCCAGTGTCCCGGGGTCACCGCACCTGCCCAGCGGCCTTGTGAGCGAGGAAGTAAACTCTTCCCTTTAGTGAGGTTCCCATCTCACGCAGCTGAGTTGGTTTTGTTAAAATACCTCAAAACAGGTTTTTCCAAAGTTTGTCATCTCTCTCCTCTGCTGTCCATTATAAGGGGTCCCCCCCATATACTGCTTTATGCCCACAACTAAAATACAGGAGGTAAGCCTTTCCTTATGGAGCCAGAGAGGAAGTGCTTCAGGCCTGTGGCCTCGTGGGGCATCATGTAGATACTTAAGTGACCACCTTCAGGGAGACCCTTTAAAAATGTGGATGTCCTCCCAGCCCAGGGCCGTGTCACAGCAGGCGGGCGGCGGGCACAGCCCCGGTTTGTGGCCAGGCCGAGCGGTTTCCCCCCCTCGCCCCCCTTCTTCCTGGTCTCGTCACAGACCTTCCCAGTTGTACCTGCTGGGCGTCCCCTCTGTCCAGCCAGCCCCGGGCTGGGATGGACGGCATCCTTTCGATGATAACCTGCTTTCTGTGTGTTTTATCGGTCCCGGCATCTCGGAGCTAAGAAGAGGGTCTGGGGTTGGGGCCGCCTTGCGTTCGACCTGCATTTGGTCAGCTGCCTGAGGCTGCAGTTACTAGCTCTCCGTGCCCGTTTTCTTCATGAAAAAGGAGACCCACACGGCACCAAGTGGTTGCCCGGCCCTGGCCCATAGCTGCACCTGCCGCAGTTCCATCTCGGTTCTCCCTCTGCCTTCTCCTGTGCAGAGCAGTGGAGCGCCCACCGACCGACCACACGGGGTGGGCCCGCTCCTGCTTGTGTCCAGCCCAGACCCAACCAGTTAGCCCTGCTTTCCTGCCGGGACCTGGGCCGGGCCTTTCTCACCTCTGGAGGGCCCTCCGTGGTCCAGTCCAGGGAGCCCCCGCCCCCTTCCTGCTCCATCTCCCCTCCCTGTGGTCTGTTGCTTGTTACGTGAACACAGCGACCTTTGAGAGGCTGGGTCCGACCCCAGCACTGGCTCCACGTCCCGCACCTCCCGCTTGAGGCAGAGACCGGCAAACTCATTAGTCATCTGTTAGCGGTCCGCAGGCCCCCGTGGTCCGGCCTGGCCCCTGCTGCCGGTGTGAGCGCAGCTCCAGCCCCTGCGCAGGCCCGCCATTGTGTCCTCAGGGCCTTCGCTTGTGCCGTTCCCTCTGCCCGGATACTCTTCTTCGCATCGGCAGGCCCTCGTTGCCTTCGGTTCCCTGCTCAGAGGTCACCTTAGTGGGGAAGGCGGTCTTCTCTGGTCCCGTCTGCAGGTCACCCGTGCCTCCTCTCCTGCCCGCTATGCTCGGGGCAACGAGCATGTGTCCACCTGGCAAGTCTGGACGGCTCCCCACTGAGAGCTGGCTGTGCTCGCCACCGGGCTGCGGCCCCCAGTGGTCACTTGTGGGACGGACAGGGAGTGCGAGTCCCCTTTAGCTGGTCCAGCCCTGCTCCAAGCTTCTCTTCATCTCTCGGCCCCGGGGGTTTTGCTCAGCTGTGTCCCTCCCTGATGGCGCTGCCACCACTCCTCGCTAGCATTCGGCCCAGGTGCCTTTCTCTTTCTGTCCTGCTTGACGCTTCCCTGAGTCCCTGTACCAGTGGGTGTCAGCGACTTCATCCGGTCTTCAGGAGACCCTCGGGATGCCCGCATTGTGCCTAGCACCTTGGACCGTGTGTCTGAGCTAACCGTCCCCCCGCCCCACCCCCGCCGTTGTCTCTCCCGGTGGTCTGGGGATTCCTGTGGTGCAGAGGGTGATGGGGAGCCATCAGAGAAGGGGCGAGTTCTCAGTGTGCGGCTGCCGCTGCCAGGGGACACCCTAGGTGCTTGTCAATCACGAGTGCTGTCACTGACCTTTTCTGTCGGTTGGAGAATGTGGGGGTGCTGCAGCGGTGACACTGGGCTCTCGCTCTTTGATTGTGGGTGCTTGTCTCTAGTGTGCAGTGTGACAGCATTTGAGGTTCTGGGTGAACGGGTGGATGATTGAAAAGGTATAAGCAGGGTGTGCAGAGGAGAGGGCACACAGTGGCCCATGCTCCGGAGTCAGAGGCGGCCGCTGTTACGTCCTTCATGCACCTTTCTGTGTTACCGTTTCTTAACGTGTGTTTTAGACGTGAGAGAAGTAGATCTGTCAGCAAACCTGCTGTCGGCGTGGGGCGAAGTCGTGGACATTGCGGATCAGCTCAGACACCTGGAGGTCCTCAATCTCAGGTAGGGGCTCCGGGTCCCCTGCTGCCTGGCCTAACGCTCATCCCTCCTCGCTCCCTCCCGGCAGCTCCGAGGGGACGAAGTGGGAGGGATGCCTTACCTGAATTTAGCTGAAACTTTTTATAAATGTTCAACCTCTTTCATATTTTTTGAGGATTAGCTTTCAAAGTCACATGAGGTGACTCATTAATTGGGACTGTGTTGTGATTGGGTGGGGGCCGGGCCAGGTTGACGCACTGAGCTGGCAGGTCCCATTCTGGTGAGCTTGACAGTGAGAGATGCCCACCGGGGTCGCTGGCATTTAGCTAGGGAGAAGTCCTGAATCTTTCTGAAGCTTCTGGCATTTAACTGCTTCAGGAATGAGTGATTGCACTGGAATACTTTAATTCAGTTCTGACAAAAGATTTTTCACTAATTTGTCCTGGGTGGTGTGGCCCAGTGGTTGAATGCCAGCCTGCAAACCAAAGGGTCGCTGGTTTGATTCCCAGTCAGGGCACATGCCTGGGTTACGGGCCTGGTCCCCATTAGGGGTGCATGAGAGACAACCACACACTGATGTTTCTCTCCCTTCCTCCCCCTCTCTGGAAAAAGATAAACAAAAATCTTTAAAAAATGTTTTTTCACTAATCTATGTGTTTTACTAATGTCCATTTCCCAGGCTTTCCCCACATTTAATTAGTTTTAACCTCAGAACCTATCCTTCCAAGAGCTCGGCCAGGCTCTCCCTTTCGTACTTGAGCCAGCATTGCGCACACAGGTGAGCTGCACCCGGCTCAGCCGGCCGGTCAGGTCTGGATGTGCCTCGCGCCTGAGTACAGCAGAGGGCGGGGCCTGCCCATGGCGTCATCTCTCCTGAAAGCACGGGCAGATGTGTTGGCGTCTGTCATGTGCCACCCTTTCAGCATGATAGCCCAGGCCGAGGGCTGTCTGGGGTCAGGGTCTTGTGAACTTGAAGGACTTGACAGCACAAGGGCAGACTGTTTAAAGCAGCAAGAATCTGGCCCACGTCCCAGCCTGCTTGGGACTCGAGGGTGGGCGTCCAGGTCACAGTGTCCAGAGGGCATACTTGGGCACTGCCTTGCAGGTGCCTGAGCATTTCAGGGACGTGCAGCTGCTCCCGGCTGCCCTGACCCTGGGGAGTGTCTGCATGCCAGGCACCAAAAGGTCGTAGATTGAAAACATTAGCAATGAGGTGTTCTTGACTCGCTTTGTTTTCGATACACTATTAAGGCTGAACCAACCAAACTGCTCTCACTAAATCCCAAACTGTTGCCTTCCGTGACTGCTCCCGTCCGGCCCGCTGTGCCGCAGTGTGCGAGTGTAGCTTCTTTCCCTCCCAGGGACAACAGGCTGAGGTTTCCCGCCGCCGGCTCGCCGCCTGCAGCCGCAGCGTTTCCTGCACTGAAGGTCCTGGTCCTCAGCCGAACGGGAGTGACGTGGGCCGAGGTAAGCCTCCTCTTCAGTCTGTTACCCGGTAACAAGCCATTGTAAATTGTTGGTCTAATAGAGAATTGAGGCATAACTGTGGTCTCATCCCAGTCATCTGTGACCCGAACAATAGGCTTCTTTAAGTGCCTTGCTGAATTGTGGCAGTGAGGCAGAATTTTCGTCCAAGAATCCACGGTCTCGGCTCATCTGGGGCTGGTCTGGGGCCTCTGGGAACGGCGGCTCCGCAGTGCCAGGCAGTGGGCGTGCTGAGCTGGGGGAGCTGTAGAGTCAGGTGCTGACGGAGCTCCCGGCTATTTGAATTTTCCACACGTGTTATCAGAGCAGAGGAGGGGCGGCAGGAAGCCCTCACATCCTTTTCTTGCTTAAAGTTCGGCTCTGGATTCCCGTCCATTGCGAGCAACTGGGAGGGCCCCGGGTTCTGGTCCTGCCGGCATCTGCCCCGGTGCTGCTGTGCTGTCTGCGGGGCCACCACCGTCACATGCCCAGCACAGTCGCTGTCCAACAGGCGCAGAGAGTCGTTCACCGGTGAAACGCCGCAGGTGCCCCACGCGGAGGTCACCTTCAACTGTGGTCACAGCCCAGCGCTCCTTTCCTGGGCTCTTTTCCGGGACTCCCTCTCCAGGGCCAGATGTAGCAGCAGAATGGGGGGGGGGGGGGCACAGAAATGCAAGAAGGGCTACAGCAGTGAAGTTCAAGTGAGAAAATTTGGTCACTGACAGATTTTGACTGACTAGTATGTTCTTTACAAACGCAGACTGTCATCGGGGATCGAGGGGAGGTGTTCAACGTCAGTGTCCTTCCTTTGGTGAGGGGAACAGTACTGGATGGCCAGAGGGTGCAAGGCGCCTCTGCGGCCGCCTCGTGGTGCCTCGGTCTGTTTCCAGACAGACCTGCGTGCTGCGTTGGCTCCGTGTGGAAAGACGCGTTCCATGCCATTCACATGCGGCCTGAAGTGTGGTCTTTAGTGACATGTCCTATAAAGCACTTCGTTTCTCAAGCCATGACCAAACCGGACTTGTGTGCAGAGTGTAAAACGCACACACGGAGGCGGCCCTGGTGGAGGCGCCTGCCTGAGCTGTGTTTTGCCCACAGGTGCTGCGCTGTGCCGAGGGCTGGCCGGCCCTGGAGGAGCTCTACCTGGAGTCGAACGGCCTTTCCATCTCCGAAAGGTAGCGCGGCTTGCTCAGCTGCACCTGTCGGCATCTCCTTGCACTGAAGAAATGGTCTCTGTTATAAATCTGTTAATTTTTAGAAAGACTTGCAAATAGGGATTAGAAAAGTGCTTATTTCTTGCCTTTGCAATTTAGAATGTCAACTGGGCTTCACCACTAATTGAGGAAAAACTCATTAGGGTGAAAGCCCAGAGTTAAATAATTTTGAAAACATGAATTTTATGTTTTACATAAATATATTTGTCTGTCTAAATGGAAATTCTGTAGGATTTGCTATAAGGATTAAGTGATGCAACTGTTTCAGGTCGATGTACCTTAAGTGAATTAAATAATGTCTCATCTTCCACTTCTGGTATCGTTAAATTACTATGTAAAACAAATTTAAATGTGGGCAAATTTACAATACATTCTCAAAGGATTCACATTAACAAGATTTTACTGTACAGAATGATTTCATTTATTATATAGGCAAAGGCAGGTTTTTAAAAATGAAACTTTTGAGATAATTTCAGATTCACATGCAGTCAGACCTGTTACCCAGTTCCCCCACCGGCGACGTCTTGCAGAGCCGTGGCCCAGTGTCCCCATCACAAGGGTCCCTGCCGTCGTCCTTCTGTAGCCACAGCCAAATGCCCCCCACCCCCACCCTCTCCTGAGTAGCAGATGTAGGTGTTTTAAAGCTGTGTGTTTGCAAACGACTAAGGTATTAACTTCACGTTGAAAAAATTTTATTTCCATATAGGCCGGCTGATGTTCTACAGATGGTCAAGTTATTAGACCTTTCCCATAATCAGTTAATTGATGAAAATCAGCTGTTTCTAATAGCATATCTGCCCAGGTAATTTGCTCCTAAAATGCCTGTTCCATTAGTGCGCAGTAAATTTTTAGTGAGTGGGTCATAAGCCATACACGCTTTTGCAACAGAAATACAGTAATGGAGGAATTCTCAAATGGAGTCACTCTCTTCGGGAAAGTTTTATCTGAATTCATCTAGAGAGCTGACTTGTGAAACTGCATACAAAGCAGTCTACATCCGGACCAGATAATTGAGAATGAATGGTTTGGCCCTGGTGCTGAAGTCTTCATTCATTAAACTGTGGGTAGAGAGGCCATGCCCCTCTCCTCTTTGAGACCCACTTAGCACCCAGCGCAGCGGTGAGACGCCCAGCACAGTTCCGTCACTGTGGAGTCAGGAGAGCGCAGTTTGCATGCCCTAAATTGGACTTCATGGTTTCTAAGCAATTCACCAGGAGTAAAAACCCTACGGTGTAGCAAAAAATTACAAATGTAGACTGGCTGATAGCCTAGGCATTTGATACTGTTCTGTGCAATCAGATTGAACATTTGCAATTTCAGATTAGAACAACTAATTCTTTGTAACACGGGGATTTCTTCTCTACATTTCCCAGATGCTGGGATCGGTATGTAAGATTATGACATTCCCCTTCCCTGCATGCCGCACTTTAGCATTTCTTTCACTTCTACGGTGTAACTTATTTCTCTTTTTCCTAGGGTGCAAGACATCGATGTTCCCTTCCTTGCAGAACCTTGTAGTCAACGACAACCGGATATCTCAGGTAAGAGCTCCTTCAGAGTGCGCGCCCCGCACGGCCTCCGCTCTCCACCCCACCCCACAGTCTGGACGTTCCTTCCATGGGAAAATATTTTAAATTTTCTGAAAGAGAAATGCTCCCTCAGCTGAAACTCCTCGTTTTATAAACCCAAACATATTAAGAAAGAAATCAGTTTTCACTCCCGCCTCAGCAGACTCCCGTCCAGCTGGAGGGCTCGGTGTGGTGGATCCCTGGACCCCAGACTGGACTGGCGACTTCGCTTTTCTGTTGCCAGTTCAAATAACCTGAAGAATTAGCCTGAAGCACGTTTCTTCTCTTTTGCTGGGTCTCAGTGGTCGTCTATCAACGAGCTGGATAAGCTGCAGAGCCTGCGCTCTCTGTCCTGCCGAAGAAACCCCCTGACTGAGGGGAACGGCGAGCAGACCGCCTACCGGTTCATCATCGCCAAGATCGGTCAGCTGCAGACCCTGAACAAATGCCAGGTGAGTGCCAGGGCGAGGTCTTTTCTAGACTCGAGAACAAATTATTGAGAAGTGCAAGCAGATAGTGTATTTGAATGTTGCAGAGGGTGACAGGTGCGGTTTCCAGGGGGTAATGAAGGAGCCTCCTGCGTGTTTTAGCAACAGTGTAATTAGACTGTCAGTGCAGAGACCTGCTGCACTGGCCGATTCTGTGTCACTCAAGGAGGGAGCGGAACACGGGCACTTCCCTCCTTCCCTTGGGGGGAACATGGGCAGGCAGAGGACAGACAGACCGTGAGCCCGTCTGTCCTCCCCTTCTCAGCCACTCTCCTCAGAAACGGGCAGGCAGTGCCTTGCCCGCCTTTCGGGGCTGCTGGCTGGGAATGTCCGCACCCCCGTGTGGGCTCCCCAGTGGGCTGACCGCACGTGTGTGACCTCAGGCAGCTGGCACAGTCCAGAAACCAGCGCATGGGCTAATATTCTCATGGAGAAAAATAGAAAACTGAAAGTTTTACTTTTTGAGTACCGCCCTGTACTCTGTCAATGTTAAAAAGGATACAAATATAATTATTATCTTGCCCCTCTCACTCTGACTATCTCTGTGGGTGGGCAGTGGGGCAGAACAGGGCAGGAAACACACTCACTAGTAAAGTGCCCCGGCAGACTCGTGTTTCCCGTGGACACAGATTCTCCCCGAGGACAGGCGTGGAGCCGAGCTGGAGTACAGAAAGGCGTTTGGAAATGAGTGGAAAAAGGCGGGCGGACACCAGGATCCAGACAAGAACAGGCCGAGCGAGGAGTTCCTGGCAGCCCACCCCAGATACCAGGCGCTCTGCCTCAGTGCGTACCACCACCCGCCCGTCCTGGGCGCCTCGGCCCCGCGGCTTTCTGTTCTCTGTAACCCGAGTGGGCGCTGGGTGCTCTCCTGGGGCTGCGGCAGCCAGTGGGGAGCAGGTAGCGAACTGTCTCCAGAGAAGAACCTGCGGGAGGAACCTGCGGTGTGGGGAAGGGGGCAGCTCTCGGCAGGGAGTTCTGCACCACCCTGTACCCGGCAGGGCAGGCAGCGCCGGGTTTAGCTCAGCCTGGCTAACCGAGGGAATTTCAGGGTAGGAGCACTCAGAGGTGGAAAATCCCACTTTCGTGTGATTTTTCTTCGTGTATATTTCCTAAGTGAGCCACTGCGTACACGCCTCAGGCTGGAACACTATCTTTGAGGAAGAAAAGCTGCCTGCGGGAACTGCCTTCAAACCGCTCCAGTAGCCGGCCCAGTTTCTGGCCACTTTAGGTGAACTCGACATCACCTGGGAGTGGGGAGGGCAGGTGTCAGCGCCCCGCAGGTGCAGCTCAGCACTCACTGCTAAGGATGCTCCAGGACAGAAGTACAGATACCTGGGGGTGTTTCTAGAGGCTTTGTCACCAGTTGGCCCAGCAGAACTAGAGCATTAGAGCACTGCCGTCCTCACACCCTTGTACTATATTGAGGCTGCTTTTCGGGGGCGGGGCTCGTTTGCAGGATGGTACAGGGGGCCCACGCTGGCACTGCCAGGTCTGGCTGAGACTGGGCAAAGGCGTCCTGTGAGCGGTGTCCCATGTGGCACAACACTAGGTTTGTCAGGACTAGAAAGGAAGGACAGTGTCAGCGCCGGTGAAACTGACAAAGGTTTAACTGTTGGGAAGCACAGCCTCATCTGGCTAGTTTGAGTCAGGACACGGTCTCTGAGGACCAGGGTGTCACACACAGGTCCACCCTCCTAACAGTGAGCAAGCGACGAGTAAAAGGAAGCGGTCCCCGAGCTGGCATACCAGCTGCTGCTAGGCTGCTCCTGTGGTGACACTGACCTATACACTCTTTTCCTTACAGTGGCCTTCGCTGTATCACTCATTGCTTCTGTTTCTTAAATAGAGTATGGTGCGCCTGAAGACGGGGAGCTCAAAACACAGCAGCCCTGTTTGCTCAAAAATCAGCTGCTAGGTGAGAACCCCAAATTCAAAGACAGCTTATGTGTATTTGCATCCTTAGGTGCTAACTCAGATAAGTGACAACCTAATAGGAAATGTTCTTGTCTTAAGGACCTAAATGGGTATCTTGATTTTTAAAGAAATGATGAATTCTCAAACATGTAAATTGTTATGTTGAACATTTTAGCAACTCCCATGCCTTCAACTCATTTAATATAAATGTGGCAAGTATTCGAGCAGAGAACTGAATTGTGATTCGGAAGTTGTGACTTTTCTTACACTTGAAAACCTAGTGAAACTGTCAGGAAAGAAGTACCCAGGGGAAAGGGAGAGCAACAGAATGGTGGCCAGCTGTTCTGTTGTTAGTGACTCAGTGAAACACTAATAGGAGTCGCTTCCGACTCCAGTAAGGCCGATCCCGGACGGGGTGTGAGCCAGGCCGTACTGAACAGCTGTCCCTCGGCCTTCTGTTACCGTGCGTAGCAGGACTCACGTCTTTCTCCTTTTTTCCTTCAAGCACTGAGGATAAAGTACCCTAACCATCTCGATCAGAAAGTCTTGGAGAAACAACTACCAGGTAAGGAGCATGAGTCTCCCAACCCTCCTTGTGCCCCCAAGTCCGCTTGATGCACGGCGGTTCCCGAGTAGCTGAGAGTGTGGCCTTGTGGAGTTTACCAGTTGTCACTGGTCTTTCAGATTCTAACGTGGAATCGATCATGCTAATATCACTCCCCCAAAAGCTCAAGCCCCCCGTGACTTTATCAACTTACCCAGAAACCCTTTTGTTGAAACGAAGCCCCCGCATATGATTACACGTGTAACCAAAAGCAGAACTTGAACGCTGAGCCTTTGGGTGGCTTTCGCTCATGGGCTGCTGCTGCTGAGTTCTGAGTGCTGCTCCGGGGGGTTTCTTGGCTAGAAGACTGTCACCCTGGATGGGCAGTCTGTGACCTCCCTCATCAAGCAGAAATGACGTCCCGGTGGGCTGAGGTGCGGGTTACTCAGACATTTATGACTCTTGTATACTCCTCCCCACCAGTCAGGAGCAGAGACAGTTCTTAGGTGCTGTCTTTTAACGGACACACCGAGATGGTTTTCTCTGAAAAAAGCACTTCAGAACTTGCAATGTCTGTGCTACTGGAACTGCATCAGTTTTATTTGGAAAATACTTTTGTGTCAAAAAATTAGATTGATGGAACTTACCTTAAACTGTCACTCAGAAAAAGTGACATTTCACTCCGAGTGCACTGTGAGCTCTCAAGGTTAAACTTGGTTGCAGGGCACGTGTAGAGCCGTGAGGGACGGAACGAGTGAGGTGCGTATCACCCCGCAGGACTCGAGTAAAACAGTTTTGTTTGCCTGTCAGTGCAGTACAGTCACACCGGTTTTCAAATTGGCCCGCATACACGAGTGTGTCCTGGCACTGCTTGCGGAAGGCTGTGGTCACGCCCAGAGTGCCTCTGGCTGCTGGCCTTCCCCTCGTGTCAGCGGGCAGTGCGGCTCCCCCGCCTGCACGGCAGCTCTGCTCCCGAGGCTCGCCGTCCTGCTGCTGTTCTGGGATGATGGGCTGAAACCACCGGTTCCCTTTTCACTCTTGATTTCAAACTTAAATACTGCCAGTGAAGGGCCCCGGCCGGTGTGGTGCCGTTGGTTGGAGCATCATCCTATAAACTAAACTGTTGCGGGTTCGATTCCCGGTTGGGGCACCTACAGGAGGCAACTGATCGATGTTTGTCTTGCCACCCCTCCTCCCGCCTCTTCTCTCTGAGCAATGAGGAAAGGTCCTCAGGCGAGGATCTGGAAGACACACTGTCAGTAAAGGCACTCCTGGAAACCGACAAGTGAAGGAGGACCGGAACTCTGGTTAACGTAATCCGCTGTGGGTGTCTTTGTGTTTTCCCTTTCACTTTCCAGGTCCAGGAGCTAATTTGCTGGAGCTGCTCCAGCGTGTTCCCTGTAGGTCTGTGCTAAGCACTCCTTCCCAGGGACGGGCGGCGGCACTGACACCCGGCAGTCAGGACTGTGATGGGGGTGGCGTGAGCATGGGCCCGGGCTGGCGGGGACCATGAGCCTCACCCTCCACGCTCGCACACCATACACCCGACACCAGTGCCCCTGAGAGTCAGGTGCCCCTGTGCTATGCTGAGTGTCACTGATGTCCGGGGGACCCAGCAGGGAGTCGAGTTACCCATAGAAACGACAGGCGTTAATCACTGCTTTAGCTGCTCAGCACCTGAGTCCTGTAGTCTCTAAACTCAGCAGTGAGCCAGCACATTCCAACAGTTTCTACTAATTTTTATGCCACAGGCTGTAAATATCTAAACACTAACAAATTATTCCTTTACAGAGAAAGGTTGCAAAGAAATATAAAATACTAAAACTTTCTTTTTTTGCCAATCAGATTAGCAAATTATTAGAAACTAACATGCAGAGCTAGCATCAAAGTCAGTATATGCTTTTTGTAAAGTCAGGTGGAAATCAGTATAAAAAATTAAAAATACGTATGTGCTCAGACCAAACATTCAACTTGCGGCCCCTGTAATGGAAAAGTGAAAACCACTTCCACGTTCAGGGGAGATGGCGACAGTCCTCGGTAGGACTGTGCGTCACGGTGCCCAGTGCCGTCAGAGAGGAAGTGGGCCCAGAGCCGCACTGTCTGGGGGGCTGCCACCGGCCACGTGGGTGACTTAAACTCATTACAACGAAATACCAGGTTGTGCCTCTTAGTCACACCGGCCACACGTAGCTGCTGACTGGCCAGCCCAGAGGGAGAGGAGCCGGCCCGAGAAGGCGTGCGGCTCTGCAGTAAGTACAGGCTGCAGACCGCTGTTGTGCAACTCGACGTCCTTGTGTGTACGCAGGAGAGGGCTGGGAAGTCCACCCAGACTTTTAACCCCCGTCAGAGCGAGGCAAAGAGGTAATTACTCAGTTTGACATTTTCCGAATGTTACAGTAATTGTGTGTTACTTTTGCATTAAAAATAGTAACATTATTTAGGACCAGTACATGCAAATTGCCACTTTCTTCTGTAGACAATAGTGCAGGTGGGCAGGTCTCTTACTGGAATTGTTTTATGGCCACTTTGTTTTTGGCTTGGCACTTAGGAGGTGTCTTTTCGTGGCTGTGCATGAGTTAACCCCTCGCCAGCCGCCCTCTGAACCCAATCCGCCTAGAATCTTTTAAAGGACAGGATTACCTGAGGAAATTATGCTAATTAAAATCATAAATGTCTATTTTCTATCCAACACATAAATTTAAGGCATTTTCTTCTAAAATAAAGAACATTTATTATCACAAATTGCATAAAAACAGACAGCTTTTACAAAATGATCTTTGATAGAAAAATACTTGACTCTGATCTTTGTAGGAACACCACACTATTGCTGTACCTCCCGCTAAAGCTTCAAAGAAACTATATTTCTCATAATCAAAATAGCCAGTATTTACCACAGCTCATCTTTGGAGAAAAGCTCAATAGTGTTTTCCGAGCAGACCGAAGCATTTCCTCATGAAGTTACATTCCCACGCCTGGTGGTCACCACCACGCGCCTTAAACACAGCGGCACGCTGCGGTAACTGCCGGCTGGTTGCACTGGAAGGGACCTGGTGGACCATGCAGTTTACCCCGCACTTGACGAGGAGCAACTAAGGCCAACGGGGTCAAGAGCCCCACTCAGTGGTCTTTTAGTTAAGTCCTAAGTAATCACAAAGATTTAAAAAATGAAGTTAATGATTTTATTCACATTTATTCCTCTGGGCAGAGACTATGATTTCAGGTTTATTAGGGTCGAGGAGGAGGAAGAATCGACCACCACTGAAATGGTATGAAAACTCACGGTCAAAGGGCACTTAGGTCAAACCTGGCTCCGCCTCCCCAGGGACTCGAGTGAGTGCTGTGCAGCCGTGGTCCACTCGGTCGCTGTGCCTCTGCCCACTCGCTTACTCGGGGGGATGGGCACTCAAGTGACAGTTTCAGCCGTCACTGCGACTGTGGCCTCGTACTCTGAGCTAGTTTGACAGGAAACTGTCGTTTGAGAGAACCGGTGGTTTTTCTTTTCTCTGACAGACTCCATGACAATTCAGAAGGTGAAAGGGCTGCTGTCACGCCTCCTCAGAGTTCCCGTGTCAGACCTCCTGCTGTCCTACGAGAGTCCCAAAGTAAGTTGCCCAGCAAGACACGGTCAAGCTTAGCCCCCACAGCACGCCACACCGTTAACCTAAGTCTCTACAGAGCGGACTCCAAATGGGGGCCACACGTCCTGGGGGTGGGCACAGAACATGCTGTGTCGTCTCTGTCTCAGTCGCCCTCAACTCTGTGTTCTGTTTTAGATGCCGGGCAGAGAGATTGAGCTAGAAAATGACCAACAGTCGTTACAGTTTTACTCTGTGGAAAGTGGAGACTGTCTGTTGGTGCGATGGTGACGGCCCACTGGTGAAGCTGACACCACACTGTCACCGGGCCTGGGGTTCCCTGGAAACGAATGCTGTGTTAGAGCAGCTCTGCTGCCACACACACGAAAAAGGTTTTGTAACTTGCCCTACATACAGAAAAGGTGGTACTTTTCATTAGAAAGAAACCACTTCTAGGCTTGTATATAATAGCAATAATAAAGGCTTTGTACCTACTACCGATTTTCTGACTTTATTTCACATTTCTAGTTCATGACTGCATTTCATTATGTGGCCATCTCAGCATTAAATAGAACCTGGCTAGTCCACTAAAACCTGAACACAGGTAATGTCTCTCACTGGCCCAGTTTCACGGGACTCTCTGTTGACACCACTAGTTTAAAAGGTGACTAAAACGACTGGTTGGCCATTTAAGGAGGCACGTCCTCCACTGCGCATGGCACACACGCTGTGATCTCTCCTCGACTGCACCGTGTTTACAGCACTCACAAAACCTACTGACACACTTCCCCTCCAGCCACACCTGCACCTGCAGTCGTCGGTGAGGCCGACCAGCCCTATCGAGGTTCTCTCGGTGCAGCTAAACGTTAGGCATTGACAGGAGGACGAAATTCTTTCCAAGTGCCAACTATTCAGAAACATCCCTCCCTATGGCACCGAAACCCTGAGAGGTATTTGACTTTATTTATATTCACGAAAATTTAGCATTTTTTAAATAGGAGTCCTAAGGTGTGACTTTTCAGGCTTTATGTGAAATGGCAAAAGAAAACGTGCGTTAATCCACTACATAATAAGTGAGCTTTTAAACCAAGGTCCAGAACTGAGAACTAAATCAGTTCTTTTCCAAGTTTAAGTTGCCCACTTCATTCAGACACCCACAGGAAATGACATTATTTCCAGAGACCCCAGACTTTGGTATTAGTGACCACTGTGCATGGGTGGTCAGCCGGTCACACGATCGCAGCATTTCTGAGAGTTGGTTTTGGCCCGTGTTCATCTTTATTATGCTACACAAAGCTGTTCTGCAATACAGGCGGAAATCCCAACTCTCAATTACTAAAGATTTCTGAACAAGCCAAGTTTGAACCAAAAATGATAGGTAATGAATTCTAAATGGAAATGATGTATCAGGATTTAGAAATACTTTTTTCTTTTATAAAGTTTTTGGTGTTTTTCAAATCTTTCAATACATAAATAAAATTTTTCTTACACTACAGTGTCAGGGTTGACTTTCAAGGGGAACCTTGTGCAAACATTCAGAACGACCACGTTGGTTATGGGGGTCCCAGCCCACAGCCCTCCGGAGAGACCACGTGATCACTGCTGAACTGCCACTTTTCCCGGATTCACATGCAGATTACCACTTGCCTGCCCTGATCTTTAAACACTGCGCCAAAAAACCCTCATCATCACGCCTCACACTGGCAAGGGTCACCACACAGTTCCTTCAGTCTCCAGAGGTCCGTGAGCTCCCGGGCAGAGTACTGAGGGGAAGACAGCATTCCCGTCTCACAGGTCTTCTCACACAGCCACAGGCTGTCCTGGGGAGGCAAGAAAAGCTGATGGGGCGCTGTGCCGGCAGCTGCTGTCTGCAGAGGGCAGCTCATGCACAGGCCGCTTACCTACCCCAGTGAGGCTGGAACCGTTGCCAAGACAACGCACTGTGTGACCTACTCGGTGTGTGTGGGGCGTGGGAAAGCACCCCGTGGGGTGGCCCTGCGGTCAAGGAATACAGAAACAGTGCGGTGTGTGCACTGACGGTCAGCAGAGGGCCTGCTGGGAAGGTGAGGTCTGGCATCCAGGGGTGGGAAGTTCCACACTGGCCACAAGAGAGCTGGGGCTGCTCAGTGGCACGGGTCACGGCAGCTTTCTGAGGGAATGCTAGTGTGCCAGGGATTGCACGCACCCAATGCTTCATAAATGTTACGTATTTTAATCCTCTCAATAACCCCGTGCAGAAGAAACTGCTTCCCCTTTACCAGTGAGAACCTGGAACTAAGCAGACCTTGCTCAAGGTCACGGGGAAGTTCACGTAGGTTAGTGCTAAGTGGGAAGGGATTCAAGGGGGCCCACCAGCCTACTTCCAGCTGTACAGACTCGCCTCTTCCCAGCATTAGAGCAGAATACAGACCCAGAGCCACCCACTTGAGCAGAGCAGGCTCCAATGCTGGCTACAGCCCCACACGTCTTTAAAGCGGGGCTGACCTGGCCCTGAAGGGGCGGGGAAAGGTGCCAGCATTGTCCTGGGCCTTGAAGGCTCTGCTGGGTTCAAAGGCCTGGAGACTCTCCAGGGCCAGGAGACCGACTGACTGGAGTCACAGCCAGCCAGGATTCCTGAGGGGCCAGAACCTGGGGGTGGCAGGGAAACAACACTGCATCAGGAGGCCTGGGCGGGTGGGAGAAAGGGTCTCCCCGAGCATCAGGAACTGGGGCCTGCACTTGGGTGGGTATCCGGGGGGAGGCCCACAAGTCCCATGTCAGAAATTGGAGGCCCTTAGGCATGTCAGCAAAGACAGACATCCTCTGTAGGGTGCGTTTCAGAGTCAAACCCAAGTCCCCAAGGAACACGAGGTCACAGCAGAAAAGCCTCTCAACACATCAGGAAACAAGCTCCACAGCACCACAGACTGCAGTCAGACCCGCAGACACCGGTACCAGCACCATCAGGAGGAGAATCGTTAGGGTCAGTGTGAAATAAACCAGAGATGGGGCTAAAACTCAACAGAGAAATGGGATCAGCAAAGCTGACCGAGCGGACTGGGTTTATTCCCACCTCCCCGAGGTGGGGTGCACTGCTCTGGGCCCCCGGGACTACGCAGGGCTCCTCTGTCCCCTGCACCTTCTTCGGCCAAAGTGGAAGCTGCAAGAATGCAGACTTCAAATGAAACCTTTGCGGTAAAGACCAGCTTTGTGCTTGCTTTCTGGGTCTCTGTTTCCCACGTCTGGCCCATGCCGGTTCGGTTCCTGTTTTTCTGGCTTGGTGATCAGTGTATTTTACCAGACGCCTTAGCTCATCTTAGCCAACGTTTCATTTGCATCAGTCAGACCACCCACTATTGGAAACAGGTGTCAGCTGATTCTTCAAGTTTTAAAGCTGCAAAGAATTTCTGATAAAAACCTATTTTTTGTGGGCGGGGGAACTTCCATTCAAAACATTTCCTTGTGGTTTCCACTGAGAAAAGTATTGCATGGGAACCCAGGTGGAGTGTTGTGAATTAAAACCAAGAGCACGGCTCCAAGGTGTGATCCAGAGGCCTCCCTTCCCCGGCCCCCCCGCCAGCCTCGGGCCCGCGTACCTGGTACCGCGTGGGTCCTATGGCCGCCATCCAGATGCCCATGCTCACGTCTTCACCCTGGACCGGCAGCGGGAGGGTGAGATGCACAGGTTAAGCTGCTTCCCCCACTTCGATAATAGAAACATTTTTTTGCCTCTCTGTTTTGCCATCTATATAATACGAAATCCAGGCCTGTACTAACATCACTACACAGAGCAAAAGCCGGCAGCTGTTAGCATGAGACCACACAGCCCACAACAAGGGCCAGTCCCCTCGCCGCGTGGACCCAAGGGCTCCAGCACTAATGGGACAAGACCTGGCAGAGCCGTTCGCCGACAAGGTCGCCAGTATCGCCAAGGAAGAAAGCACTTGCTTATCATTTTCCTTCCTCTGAATACCAATTTTACACCCCTCCAGGGGACTAGTAAACATAGGCTGGAACTATAGTAAGTAGGCCCCAAAAGGTTTAGGAATAGAATGTAGAGCCAAGTTTGAGGAAGAGCAGTTCCTGTACAGACAATAAAACGCTCTTCCTCCAAGGCAGCCGGCCCTGCTTCCAGGGGTGGGGCCCTGGGGGGGGGGGGAGCTTGGTTTGATGGGTGAGCGCTCAAGTCAGAGATTCTGAAGTACCTACCTGATAGGTCTTCAGCCGCCCCGCGTTGCTGGCCAGCCAGCGGACGATGTCCCTGGATACCACGTAGCCCGAGCCGCACGCGAAGGCAGGGTACGCGGGGCTGGGGTACTCCAGCTCCTGCCACTTCCCCGTCCGGTCCACCGCCCAGTTCCACCTGAAACTGAGGTTCGAGACAAGCCGGCGTCTTTGTGTTGCCTGACACACGTCCTACCAACTGTATTATCACCACAAAGGAACAGTGGCGAGGAAAGAAGAATGAGAATGGAAGGTACCAGATCATCTCGTGTATATACGCTGAAAAACTCACTGACCCTTACGCGCTCCTGAAGAACGCAGTTTCAGAACGTCGCACGCTTACGCTGACACACGACTGCAGCGGCTGCTACTCTGAGTGCCGCCTGCTTTGAGGGCATGAGGGCGAGGCCAGACCACTTTCCCGCCTCCATTACATTAACTTGAGGTTTTCCATGAAGTTTTCTTCCCACCAATCGTAGATTAATAAAATAGAGTAACCCACGGGCCTAACTGGGAAATTTCCTATCTCAACCACATTTTCCACATTAAAAATTTCATCATAAGTAGTTACCTGTGCCCAGCCACATGAGAGCCAATAACGACGCCGAACTTACTTCCCCCACCAGAAGTTGGGCCGGTCCAGGTGCTCGCGGGCGATCCTGCTGAACACGGCCTCCAGGTCCACGTAGCAGTCGTCATCGGTCTTCAGCAGCAGGTCGAAGCTGGTCGACTCCACGGTCCTGTCGGCAGACAGGGGCACGCAGGTTGGCGTGCCCGCCGAGGGGATGAGGCGACACTGGTGCGGCCGCCCTGCTAACGCTTTACAGAAAACTGTCCCTCCTTCCTGCACACTTTCTCAGTCTCCTTCCTTCCCAGAGCGCCGCTGCCACCAACCACAGCCTCACCTGGCGGTCACCACAAGGCCCAACACAGGTGAGCACGCTGACGCGGAAAGGCGCAGAGGAAAGAGAACGCGGCACGAAAGCCTCTGGCTTCCGCGGACCCTACGGTCAAACAAACGCTTCGCAGACACCGCTCAGGTCGGGCCCCGAATCTGCTGAACATCGACCCTTGTGTTTTCAGTGAGAGGCCCAGGACGAGGGGCCGGCGTCAGGCCTGGCCCCTCACAGAACACTGTCGGGCAAGCAGCCACGATATGCCCCCATCCACGTTACGTTTTATGATTAAAAAAATGAGTTACAACACTGGTACACATTTCCCTTGGAAACGATTTCCAGCAATTAAACTGCTATCAGTGACCTTTCTGGGAGGCACAGGAGGGTGATTTAATT